AGGGAGAGAGGGAGGGAGGGAGGGAGGATAGAGAGATATGTGTATGTGTATAGTGGCTTGGGGTCAAAAACCAAAAAATACCGGCCTAGAAGCAAGTATACCTATTTCCCGTATCTGCAAAATGGAGCTAATGGAGTTTGCTCCCTCCCTGCTCTCTCACGCCAGGGGCATGACTAAGGTCACCTCTGCGATAGTGCCCTGGTGGTGCTAGCACCCTATCTGACCTACAGTTGGTCTATTTGCGGGGGCAAAATGAGGCAAAATGGAGAGGTTTGGCTTTCTCTGGGAGATGGTTGAACACTTTGTTTGAAACTGGGCAAAGTCTCATCATTTTTGTGCACATGCTTTCTTGGAACCCAGCCACGGCCAGGGAGAGCCCTCCCAAAGGCTTTCAGCCCTCGTCAGTCCACGCACGTGTGCAAATTCTGCATTGGAGGGACCCCCGGGCTTCCCAGGAGGTCTGCTGTGAGTGGTCGTGAGGGAGACACAAAGGATATGTTGCCTGGAGCAAGGACTCTCCCAGTGGAGAAAGAGTCAGTTAGTTCTGGAAGGTAGGAGAGATGAGCTTGGTTAAGGCTTTCTCCACACTCTCCTAGGGGATCCCTGGTGGAAGAAAACACCTTTTACAAACCATCACAGCAACCCCGTGAACTGTGAGCCCCATTTCATAGATGAGGAAACTGACAGAGAGGTTGGGCACCTTCCCTGAGCTTGCACAACCATGAGCCTTGTACAAAAAAATCCCTCCTTCTGACTCCAGGCCTATGCTCATGCCAGTAACTCCCCCTGAGCCTTGGGAAAGCCTGTTAGTCGCCCAGAAGACCCTTCCAAACTGGTTTCTTCATCTGTGAAATGGGATTTTTGCTCTATCAAGGAAGGAAGCAGCCTTTTGCTGAGGAGGGAGCATTGTCTTTAGAGTCACTGTGTCCTGGCATCTCAGCCCAGTTTACAAATCAGCGCCCTGAGATCTCAAGCCAATTACCTTTGTTTCCTTGCCTGGAAAGTGAAGATGATGGCAACTTTCTCGATTCATTATGAGGATTAATCAAGATAATGTTATCACATCACAAAGTCGAGAAGGATCCATATTAACCTCTCAATGGTGGCTACCCCGGGGTGGTCTCATTGCAGGTGGTTTCACTTTTTCCCTGTTTTCTCATCTTTATTCAGTGGTACTCTGGTAAATGCTTGAAAACCGGCTCTCCAAAAGACCAGCCCTGATTTGTAGTCTGTGCCCCTTTCCATGGTGTAAATACTCCCACGAAGGCTGATTTCAAGCTACCACCTTGAAATCACTGAACGAACTGAGGAGAGACGTGCTGGGACAAGCCCACTTCAGCACACCACTGTTGTTCTCTTCAGCTGTGCACTGAATGTGTTGTTTGGGCAGTAAGTTGAGAGAGAGCGGAAATTAATGAATAGAATACCCAGCATTGTGCCGGGCATAATAGTTTTCAGTTCTGCCCGACCTTCCTCCATCCCCAAGCAAACAGCACCCCAACTGTAATGGCCAGGCTACGTGAGGTGGTGGTCTTCTGAGAGGCCAAGGGCCCTTATCTTGCTCCCCATCTGCCGGGCGCTCATGAACCCGGGCAGCCTCTAGAGGAGATTCCAAGGTCGGCCGACTGAGGAATAATCAGGCAAGCAAGCAGGTCCTTTCACTTTCCATGGGAGACACACTTTTGGCCAACGTGGGCAAGGTTGAAACTGTCCTAGAGGAAACCAAGAAGGGTCTCAGTGGAGCGGAGAGCGTGAAGGGGAGCGCGCATGTACGCAGGCACGCACGCACGCACGCACGCACACCCCTGCGGCCAGCCTCTGGCTAGCCTAACTAGGGGAGCGCGCGTGTACGCAGGCACGCACGCACGCACGCACGCACACACACACACACACCCCTGCGGCCAGCCTCTGGCTAGCCTAACTCATGACCAGAGAGGAGGTGGGGGCTGCAGATTTCTGAAGGATTACGGAAGAAGCAGGAGTCCCGAGAGCCCTCTGACAGGTGAGCAGGTGTGCACAACAGACAACAGAGGGTCGCCCCCCCTGCAGTGTCAGCCTCCCGGACTCCGCACAGCTTCCTGCACACAGTAGGCACTCAAGACATTTTTGTTCACGCTTGTGTTTTTAATTCGTACGTTTTTTCTGTTCCTACATAGCTTAATCTATTGCAGAAAGGATGTAAGGCCCCTCAGTAAATGCTTGTCGAATCAATAAGTAAGTCTTAGCCCTCACCAGCTCCTGGTTTCACATGTTCCCGGATGTAAAATGTGACTAAATCTAAAGGAGATGCAAAATGTTAATAAAGTTGCCAGTGATTTTTTTTTTTAATTTCTTCTGGCTTTTTTGCATTTTTCTTTTTTTTAAATTTTTTATTTATTTGACAGAGACACAGCGAGAGAGGGAACACAAGCAGGGGAGTGGGAGAGGGAGAAGCAGACTCTCCACTGAGCAGGGAGCCAGACAGAGGGCTCAATCCCAGGACCCTGGGACCATGAACTGAGCCGAAGGCAGACGCTTAACGACTGAGCCACCCAGGCACCCCTTTTTTGCATTTTTCAAATGTATCTTCAAAGAACGTGGATCACTTTTGTTATTAAAAAAAAGAACATGTATTATAAAAATAACCTATAATAAAGAGTAGAACCGAGTGGTATCCCAGTTAAGGACACCGACAGACATCCCCTCCATGCTGTGGTGCTTGAACCGGGGGCCCCGGACACATCGGGTGGGCCCAGCATGGACCTCCTCATGCTTCAGGACCCTTGTCACAGCTGGGTTCTTTCTCAGCCTCTCTTTCCTCGGGCCTCCCACCCACCAGGTACTGACTAATAACGTTCCCCTGCGGTAACAAGTCTTAGAAGTGGAAACAGAGGCGAGTCCTAGAGAGGGGAAATAACAGGCCACGCCCAGGGCCACCGACGAGTGAGAAATTCAGAGGGCCTGCGTCCCCAGCCCCACCCCTGTCACCACGGCGGAGGTGAGGGGGCCCACATGCCCCTGCAGTCCAAGGAGGACCTGCTGCGTTAAGAGCCAGCGGCATCCTCGAGCCACACCTCCGGGGCAGCTCGGGACTCAGCCCCTTGCCCAGTGACAAACGTATCTGTTCCGCTTCTCTCCGGGCGGTGGGGCTGCTCCGAGGACGCAGCGCTGAGACTGCTCCTGTGAAAGCATTTGCTGGATGATAAACGAGCCCTCCCCACATCATGAGGGACTCGGCTCTTCCCTGGGACCTAGCTCTGCAGCTGGGGGAACCTTGATGCGTTTGCCGGTTCTTTGTGAAAGACACAGGTCGAGTCTAGAAAATGAGGCTTGGGGGGTGGGGAGAGGAAGTTCAGGAGCTTTGCGACAGAAAGCGAGCTCGTGCATACATGGTCTTTTAATTCCTCTGTCAACCATGTCGGTGCTCCCGAGCCTCCTGCTCTGCGTGATTCTGGAGCGACTCTAGAGCTGGCGGGCTGAGCAGAGGCAAGGCCAGGTGCCCCTGGGGCTCCGTGTGCACAGGGAGATGTGACCATGTGTCCTCAGAACCTTTCTTTTTTGACAACTTTTATTTACATACTGTACAAATTCACCCATGGAAAGTGTACGAGCTGGTGGTTTGTAATATATTCACAAGATTGTACAACCATCACCACCATCCGTCTTAGAACATTTTTGTCACCCCCAAAAGAAACCCTGAACCCCATAACAGCACCCCCCCAACCCCTTTCAGGCCCGCCAGCCCAAGCCAAGCACAAATCTAATTTTTGTCTCTCTAAATTTGCCTGATCTGGACAAATGGAATCCTACAACATGTGGCCTTTTGTGTCTGGCTCCTTTCACTTCACATAATGTCTTCAAGTGTCATCCATGTTGTAGCAAGGGTCAGCACCTCGTTCCTTTTCATGGCTGAATAGTATTCCGTTGTCCGCTTAGAATGCAATTTGTTTATCCTTTCACCGGTTGATGGACATCTATCTGGGTTGTTCCCACTCTTTGGCTGTTGTGAATAATGCTGCTATGAACATGCGTGGATGAGTTTTTGTGTGGAGGTATGCATTTGTGTCCCTTGGGCCACACACCTGATTTTTTAACAGTGTATAGCTGATCATGTCACTTGTTTGCTTAAAAGCTTTCAGTAGCTTCCCTTGTTTTTAAAATCACGTTCAAAATCCTTACTTGGTCCGCAAGGCTTACAGCTTCTGGGCTCTCCCCTTGTGCTTCTGTTCCAGCCAAAAGGTTCCTCCGACACACTTCCTAGCTTGGCCGACCCCGAACCTTCCTCCCTGCCCCACCCCCCGCTCTTTGTTGAACCCCCACGCATCCCGAGGTCTCAGCCAAAATACCCCCTGCACGTACCCCAGTGAGAACCACATGCTGACTTGTGCGGTGATCTGTCTGGTATTTCTCTCTTCTGCCGCCGGACGCTCCAGGAGAGCGGGGCCCTCGCTGGCATTCATCCGTCGGCCCGGCACCAGCTCAGTGCCTGGCACTTAGGCCCTCTGTAAATATCCGGCAGATGAGGAACAGGTAACCGGGAGACCGTGGGGTCTCCCTCAGACGGTGGGGAAACGCAGGCAGCGGCTCTCGCAGGCCTCCTATCCCCCAACCCACCTGAGAGACCTCTGCTAAAGTTGGAATGGGTTTGGGGGAGCCCCCATCCTCAAATAGCTAGGGCCCCATTGGGTGCCAGCTAACACGTGGGCTCTGTCTCGGGGCGAGGTAACTCCCCGCGGCACAGGACTCGGGCCGCCCCCGCCCCGCGCTGTCCACACCGAGGGTCACAGCGGCCCGCCTCTGGGGGCGACGAGGGGTGGGGGTGGGGGGTTGTCGTGAGGCTGCAGCTTCTGTGCGAGCTGGGAGCCGCGCTAGCACAGACCATGTTCTCTTTAGTAAAGATCGTTGCCTTTCTGCGCATCTTGTTTGAAACCCTGTCCTTGAGGAAATTGCGAGAGGAAACGGTAGACCTTCTGAGACTTAATTGCTTTTTTCAAAACACCGTGTTTTCATTTCCCCCACAGATATGCACTTATTTGGCCATTATCCCGCACATGACGACTTCTATCTCGTAGTGTGCAGTGCCTGCAATCAGGCCGTCAAGCCACAGGTTTTCCAGGCGCACTGCGGTAAGTGGACCCCCGCACCCCGCCGCACGTTCGCAGCCGCCGCTCCCGCCACCGTCGCCCCACTTTGGCTCCGGGACGGCCCGGGGTCGGCCCCGGTGTGCCTGCCTCGGCCCGAGGCGGCGGGGAGGTTCTTCCTGCCGCTCTACCTCTGCTCACAGGGGATAGATTTTCGGAGCGGTAGTCCCCCTTCGGAAATGCTCCGCCCTGTCAGAGCAAATGAGAGAAAACCTGCAACTTGTTTAGGGAAATGGGACCAGACTGAAGCCATCCGCCCAACCTGCTGGGGGCCTCCCAAGGTGACCAGAGGAGAACAGCAGAGCGGTGGCTTGAGGAATCGCTCCTGCAGCCCGACATCCCTGAAAGAGGGGGCCAGACTGTCTCCCGGGGTTTACCCCTGGAGGGTTTGGGACTCAGGGGGCTCTTGGGCGGCTGCTGCAGGAAATGCCTGGTTCTTAACAGCCTCAGGTTCAGTTTCTCTCTCTCTGCAAGAATGCTCTTTGTTTGTGTTGGGGAACTTACTTTCCCTCCGCATCTTTACATCCTTGGTGTAATAAATTCCCTTTGGTAGGTCAACAGCAAACCCTAGACTCCCCCTTCAGAACAGGTGCCACGGACATAGAACAGATAAAAGTCCGCGGGACTGCTACCTCAGGAACGCATAAACAGCTACTGGCCTCGGACAGGCAGTTACTTAACCTCGTGGGATGGAAGTTTCCTTATCTTTAAACAGGGAGTTGGACCAGATGATTTCCAAAGCTGTGAATCCCAGAAGAGGCTTTCTCAACCTTTCTACTTAAGCCCCACTCCCTTTTTGATGAACATAATGTCTCGCTGCCCCCTTTTACTGTTATAGCTCAAAGCACGTTAAATATCGTGCGGAAAAAAACTCAAAGCAATAATAATATCGGGTATGCTTTTGTAAATTACACATTTCCCCTTTCTCACACTCAGAGTTTTTGACTTTCCCCCACCCGCTTCAGTTGTCACTGTTCTGTAATAAATAGGTTTAAAGTGAAGGGAGTTGCTTATCCAAACTCCTCAGTAAATGTATTTGGGCCTTTAGAATAGTTTTTGTGTATTCTAATACCATTTATGAATATGGATATATATGATATATCCATATCTAAATATATATAATCTGTATCAGTGTGTGCCCCTATATACATAGTGGGAATATTTTGTGTTTTTAATATTGTAGAAAGAGAATGCAGGATTTAGTGGCACTTTCCAAAACTTTCTTACCTACACAAGGCAGAGAGAGGGCCCAAGATAAAGTGCCATACAGAGAGCTCTGTGTACAGGCCCAGTCCCCCGACATCCCTGCAGCCAGCTCTGTGAGCTTGGTTTCTCTTTCTCTTCCATGAGGAGTGATTTCCAGAGGTGCTTCTAGCTCTAACATTTTTGTTTCTGGCAGACTGAGCATGAAAGGAGCAAGTTGTGTGCTTGACACGAGCTGACCTTCTTGCTCACTGCTCTGTAGCAAATGACCCTCTCTTCCTCCAAGAGGAGAGGAAAGGTCAGACCTTTCCAAAGGGAAACTGTCAGAGTCTCAGAGGTGGTGCTACCAGCTAAGGTGACAGGTCGGGGAATAGAAAGCAGAGCAGTGGCGGGAAGATCCCACACAACTGGTTTGTTCGGTGAATGACCGTGGAATCCATGTGGCCAATTGCTTCTGTTTGTCTCGTGAAGATGCGGAGGCTAGAGCACCCCGAATGTGATGGGCGCTCATTCATTCACAGGGATGTGCTGCACTGGGATACAGCTGCAAACGGGACAGACAAAAATCCCATGAGCCGTCAAAACCTTCCCTGGGAACTTAATTCACTGGCAGAGTCTTTGATGGAAGGAACTAGAAAGGGACCTGGGACTCCTCTGTGCCCTGCAGAGTTGTGCCCAAGGCGAGGCCTCATCTACCCAGTCAAAGAGGTCTCGAGGGCTTGGCTCTGCTGGTACATCTGCCTCCCTCTGTTCTAGGCCTTTTGGTTCAAGAGCCAAGTCGAGCTCAGGGGGACAGCCCAGGGTTCTGTGGCCATCTCCTCTGAGCAGTGGCAGGAAATGAGTTTGGGGGTTTGGGGTGACTGGCCTCATCACTCGAATCCCAGACTCCATTGAGCTTCTTGCCAAATCAGCTGACGAGTAGCGGTGGGAACACAACCACAACTCAGCAGATAGAGGCGGCAAAACCTCCCTTGTCTTTCAGGTGTGCGTCCTGCCGATTCACAGCCCATATTTATCAAGACCAGGAGAATGCAAGGCAGAGCTCAGAACCACAGCAATTCTTCAGGGGCAGTGAGGATTTCTTAGTTTCCCTGAGAATTCTTTCAATGGTTTAATGATATTTATTTTCTTGCTGTTTTATCTCCTATGATTGGCCTCGCTATTTCCAACAAGTTAATAAGAATGACACTGTGCTAAATGCCAGGTACTGTGCCATGTGCTTTCACTATCTTTGAGTGTATAATCCTCTCAACAGCCCTATGAAGCAGGTACCAGTGTGATCCCTGTTTTGAACGTGAGGAAGCTAAGGAGCCCCTTGCCTAAGATCTCAAAGCTAGGCAGGTGCAGAGCCTGATTTTTGAATGCAGGCTGCGTCACTCCAGAGTGAGGGGCGTACGTAGTCTGCTTGCTTAGCCATTGTCCCTCACTGCCCCTCTGCATGGATCCCCTGCCCTCCCTGCCCTGCCCAAACTCCAGGACCTGCCCCCATTCACTGGCCAGGTAATATGTGGGAGTACAGTTCTCTTCATACCCTATTTTGTTATCAGAGCTTTTTTTTAAAGGAATCTCATGAAGAACCCAATCTACAAATATATATGCAAAGCAGAGCCATTGGAGTTGAACTTTGTATAGCGGCTCGAGCCCCACCTACCTGGCCTCTCCTGACTCCCAACCTGCCAAGGGTCCATAGATCAGCATTTGAAGTCTGTTGTAATGGAGAGGACATGGAAGACGGACAAAGCAGTTCAAGTTAACTGTGTGACCTTGAGCAGGTTGCCTCTGTCTCTCCACCTTGTCTGCCTCATGGAGTTGGTGCGGAATCACTGGTAGGAAGCACCTTCTTGCAGATACACCCAGAGCCTGGGTTCCTGCATGGCATCATGCCCCATTGCCCCCCCACTAGATGTGATTTGTCCCTCCTAGTAGCCATCAAGTTCTGTTCTCCTGTGCACAACACCTTCTGCCGTGCACTTCAGTTATCTGTGGAGTGTCTCGGCCCCTCTACCAGCCTCTCGGATCCTTTCAGGACCAGGGATGTGCCTTGTCAGCTCTGTATTCCCAGCACCCAGAAATGAGCCCACCATCGTGGGCCCTGACCCCAGGAAGCCAAGCTAGTGTGCACTGGGAGGGACATACCGGGGGGCCAGTATGCCTGGGGCCAAATCCCAACTCAGCTGTGCCCGGCCCTGAGACCCTGGACTTGTCACTTTTTAAATGACAGGGGACTGGATAGTGTGTTCTCTTAGCAACTTATTCATTCACAGCACGTGCGATTCAGCTCCTGGATTTTATGGATACTGGCATAGAGAGAGAGAGAGTTGGGTGTGTGGCAGCATCCAAGATCTCGGTGTCCTGGTTGTTTAAGTTAAATTGAAAAAAGTACACAGTGTGTGTGTGTGTGTGTGTGTGTGTGTGTGTGTGTGTGTGTGAGTGTGTGTGAGTATTTAGGCAGTTGGTTCTGGGGACTTTGAAGGTTGATGATAATGTGAAAAATTGAAAGCCATAATGGAAAAATCATGAATTTCAGAATCAAACAGACCCAGGTTAGAATCTTGACTAACATTTACTATCTGTGTACTGTTGGGCTAATTGCGTGACCTTTCTGAGCCTCCCTTTCCTCTAAAATGAAGGTGATAGTTATTGCCTCGCAGTTACTGTGAGGAACGGAGATAAAGTAGAGTTTCCTGGCACATGGTAGGGAAATAAAGCAAAGGTAGCTATTATTGTCAATAAAGTGTGGCTATTTCTTATTAAGTTGAATGTTTCTTATGAAAAATGGGAAAACCAATTCGGTCAAATGCTTCCTGTCTTCATTTCTTGCCCTGTCTCAGGGGATGTGCGCGCTGAGGTCAGCCTACAGACGTTGGCCTGTGATTCATCTTCAGCCTCGCATTCTCTTGGAGGCGAGAATTGTCAGCCTAAAGATGATCACGCTGCCAGGAGTCCCGAGGATCTGGCTTTATAAATATGGTTTACATTCACATGAGGCCCCAGTGTCAGCTCCTCTGAATGTCATGAAGCTCCGGGTACCTCTCTGGGGTCCCTGCCAGGGTCCAATCCTGTTTTGGCCGCCTTGCCAATACAGGTCATGTGAGTCCCCACTCGCAGGACTCTGCATTCCTGTTTGCTCCTGACTTTGTGCCCCACGCTGATGTCCCAGGCATAAAAAGCAGGTGTGCCCAGAGGTGACACCCTGTGCTTGGCACGGGGAAAGGCTCTCTGGGAGCCACGTTCTGGGCCACCCCACCTCAGTTGGTCCTCTGAGGTCTGTTTCCTGAGTCTGTGCAAGGGTCCTTTCGATGCCTTTTAAACCTCTACCCAGAAGATCTAGAATTTTGAGGGATTGCTTTGTTTCTAAAGCCCCTTCAGGAGTTGATGAGGTGATTTAGGGATAGTCACAGAAAGGGGAAAACAGAAGCCTCGCCTTGGAGGCCCCGATCCCACCCAGCAGGCATCCCTATCCCTCATAGCTGTCCGGCCCAAGCTGTAGCTTGGTATGCTGCCTTGATGTGATTGGCATATGGTTGGGAATATTTCTGGGGTCTGTCTGCTTGGAATCATGTTCCAACTCTACCGTTTGTTAGCTTTTGGACTTGAGCAGGTTACTTGGCCTCTCTGTGCTTTACTTTCCTTATTCTTAGAATGGATAGAGTGGTGTTTGTAATGAATAAAAGAACTTGGGGCACCTGGGTGGCTCAGTCAGTGAAGCGTCCGACTCGATCTCAGCTCAGGTCTTGATCTCAGGGTCATGAGTTCAAGCTCCACATTGAGCATGGAGACTA